TGCACTGTGTAACTTTTCGGTTGTTGGTCCTTCACCTGGTTTTTTTTCCTATGGTTACGTCACCGCTCTGCCTGGAATGTTCCACAGTGTGACTTTAAACAGATCTACTTTACATTTATTCAATCACAGGTTTGTTTGTTTTGTTTTTAATCTCAAAAATCCCTCAAAAAACCGACATTTCTGACTGTGAGCGGGGTCGCCTCTCCACAGATCTGACCTGGAACTCGCTCTGGTTTGGTCTCCGTGGAGATAGAAAGGTTTATTTAATGCCACACTGTGAAACATTCCAGACCAAGCAGAAACATCTCCCTGGAGAAAAGTGTTCCACCAGGAAAAGTTACACTGTGCAGCTTTAAGTTACTCTTACTCGAGTAGTACTTTTCCCAAATACTTTTAACTCTTACTTGGAGCTCTACCTTGTACTTCTACTCGAGTAAATATTATTTTGAAGCAACAGAGATTAAACCAAACCCTCTTGTTGTTGTTGTTGTTTTATTGTAAGTTTGTCTAAATAAATAAAAGTTTAAATCATGAATAAATTCTTAAATCAGACTTGGAGTCCGTCCATGTTCTTCTTCTTCTCCGGCGTCGGGTCTCGGGGGCATCAGTCTAAACAGGGACTCCCAGACTTCCCTCACCCCGGACACTTCCTCCAGATCCCCCACAGGGACCCCGAGGTGTTCCCAGACCAGTCCAGAGACGTAGACCAAAACATGTCCAGGTCGTGTTCAGTTTAGTCCTGGTTTAGTCCTGGTTTAGTCCTGGTTTAGACCTGGTTTAGTCCTGGTTTAGACCTGGTTTAGTCCTGATTTAGTCCTGGTTTAGTCCTGATTTAGACCTGGTTTATTCCTCTGTTAGACCTGGTTTAGTCCTGATTTAGTCCTGGTTTAGTCCTGGTTTAGACCTGATTTAGTCCTGGTTTAGTCCTGATTTAGTCCTGGTTTAGACCTGGTTTAATCCTGGTTTAGACCTGGTTTATTCCTCTGTTAGACCTGGTTTAGTCCTGATTTAGTCCTGGTTTAGTCCTGATTTAGTCCTGGTTTAGTCCTGATTTAGTCCTGGTTTAGACCTGGTTTAGACCTGGTTTAGTCCTCTGTTAGACCTGGTTTAGTCCTGGTTTAGTCCTGGTTTAGTCCTGGTTTAGTCCTGGTTTAGTCCTGGTTTAGTCCTCTGTTAGACCTGGTTTAGACCTGGTTTAGTCCTGATTTAGACCTGGTTTAGACCTGGTTTAGTCCTCTGTTAGACCTGGTTTAGTCCTGGTTTAGTCCTGGTTTAGACCTGGTTTAGTCCTGGTTTAGTCCTCTGTTAGACCTGGTTTAGACCTGGTTTAGTCCTGGTTTAGTCCTGATTTAGACCTGGTTTAGTCCTGGTTTCGTCCTGGTTTAGACCTGGTTTAGTCCTGGTTTCGTCCTGGTTTAGTCCTGGTTTAGTCCTGATTTAGTCTTGGTTTAGACCTGGTTTAGTCCTGGTTTAGTCCTGGTTTAGTCCTGGTTTAGTCCTGGTTTAGTCCTGGTTTAGTCCTGATTTAGTCTTGGTTTAGACCTGGTTTAGTCCTGATTTAGTCTTGGTTTAGACCTGGTTTAGTCCTGATTTAGACCTGGTTTAGTCCTGGTTTAGTCCTGGTTTAGACCTGGTTTAGTCCTGGTTTAGTTCTGGTTTAGACCTGGTTTAGTCCTGGTTTAGACCTGGTTTAGTCCTGGTTTAGACCTGGTTTAGTCCTGTGAACCTTTTCATTCGTTGCTTCAGTCGAGGGGAATTTCATTTGCCTCTTTAACCATTAAAGAAAAAAAATGGTGTATGAACAGAAGCTAAAAGAAGATAATTTTATATTAATAATTATTGATTTTAGGTAAATATTTTATTCACAAATGTCGTTTTTTTTTTTTTTTTTTTTTTTTTTTTTAAAGATAAAACTAAATATAACACACTTTAAAAATGACCTGAAACTTTTCGTTAACTCACTGAACCTGAATGAAAGAAAAGAAACCGGCGGGATTCTTGTTCTTTTGATCAGAACCTTTTTATTATTATTATTATTATTATTATTATTATTATTCTACAATTGTGTTTTGATCTATGCTGTATCTCGGATTTTGAAGTACTAATTAAAAAAAAATAAAAAATTATAAAGTTGCGTGAGCGTGTCCCTTTAAAACCCCAAAACCCACAATGCACCGCTCCTGTTTTCACTTCCTGGTTGGATCCACGTGAGTCTCACCGGCGTGAAACATGTCAACAACAAACCCTCCACCCGCGGCCCCGAGCCCCGCGGCCCCGAGCCCCGCGGCCCCGGACCCCGCGGCCCCGGGGATGAACGGGGACGGCGGGGCGGGGGACCGGGAGCAGCTGGAGGGTTACGCGGAGTTTGAGGCTCTTCACGCGGCCGCGCTTCAGGCTGCGGGGCTCCCGAGGATCTACTGGAAAAGTCTGCACCGCAAGATCCACGACGAGGTGCGTGAATCAAGAAAACACGAGTATTTCAAAGAAAACACGAGTATTTTAAAGAACACGCGAGTATTTTAAAGAAAACACGAGTGTTTTCCAGTTGTATTCGGTCTATGACTCCAACAAAACTTCATAAAACATCATAAAGTATCAGTGTTGTTCCTCCTGTATCACACTGTTATTAGTTTGTACAACCAGAAACGAAAAAAAATCTAAACAAAACTAAAAAAAAAAAAAAAATCACACTTTTTTTTTTCATTCTCATTGTGGTTTATTTTGTACGAACATAAACGATAAACTGGGTCTAAACTGGGTCTACATTTGGTCTGAATTGGGTCTAAACTGGGTCTACACTGGGTCTACACTGGGTCTAAACTGGGTCTACACTGGGTCTAAACTGGGTCTGAACTGGGTCTAAACCGGGTCTAAACCCGGTCTAAACCGGGACTAAACCGGGACTAAACTGAGACTAAACCCGGTCTAAACTTGTGTCTAAACCATCATCATAAACTGATGGATTCAACATTTATATTAATCTCACTGTGTATGTAATGATTTCATGAGTTGCAGAAGGTCATGAAGTCCTGTCTATTCAATAACAGGAAACATCTTGGGCGACCATTGCTTAAGGAGGATAAACTAAGGAGGATGAAATGAGGAGGGCAGACTGACCTTAACTCACTGTACTGAAGTGTTATTTTTGTGTTTCCTGTAAGCAAAAAAGGAACTACTCCTTTAATGTTTAATGCTTTCATGTTCCCCCTCCCGTTCTGAGATGAGTAGTTCCCATGTAACTAGGGGTCCTAATACTGAATAAAAGGCTTTAGAGAGTATTTGAGAGAACAGCAAGTTACATGTAACTAAAGTCCTTCTCTCGGTTCTTCTCCCTCCACGCGTGTAAAAGATATTAATCTCTTGTCTTCTCTCTTGTTATTGAATATTGAGTATAGGTAAAGGTGAACCTATCATAAACGATAAACCTTTTTGCCTTTATTAACATTATTATTAGTTTGTACGAAAAACAAAACAACATAAGATGACTTTTCTTTCTGCTCCTTTTCATTCATTTCTTGTGAGTTAAATTTTTTAAGTTTTTTTTTATACTTTATGAATGAAATAAACAAATAAATATGTATATATATATATATATTTTAAGTACAAACTAGTGGTCCAAGAAAAGTCAGGGTATAAAAGTATTTTGGGAAAAGTACAACTGAATTAAGAGTAACTGTGTGAACATCTGGTTAATAATTTGAAGTGAATGTGAAGTACAAAACTAAAGCTGCTCTGCGTAACATTTTTGTTTTTGTGTTTCTGTCGCTCAAAAATAAAATAATTCCTTCTGTGAGCGGGGTCGCCTCTCCACAGATCTGGCCTATAACTCGGTCTCGTTTGGTCTCCATGGAGATAGAAAAGTTTAATGCCGTACTGCGCCTTCAGAAAGTTACGTACTGTGGCTTTAAACAAGAAAATGTAATGGTCATAGTCATAATATTGTACAGAAAAAACCTGTCAGGAGCAGAGGGACCGTCTCCAGGTCTGGGTCGTCTCCGGGTCTGGGTCTGGGTCTCTCAGGTCTGGGTCTCGGTCTGGGTCTCGGTCTGGGTCTCTGGTCTGGGTCTCTTCTGGCTGGTCTCGGTCTGGGTCTTGGTCGGTTGGTCTCCAGGTCTGGTCTGGTCTCGGTCTGGGTCTGGTCTGGGTCTGGGTCTGGTCTGGTCTGGTCTGGTCTGGGTCTGGGTCTCTCTGGTCTGGGGTCTGGTCTCCAGGTCTGGGGTCTGGTCTGGGTCGGTCTGGGTCTGGGTCGGTCTGGGTCTGGTCTGGGTCTCGGTCTTGGTCTGGGGGTCTCCAGGTCTGGGTCCAGGTCTGGTCTGGGTCTGGGTCTCGGTCTGGGTCTGGGTCTTGGGTCTCTGGGTCTGGGTCTCGGTCTCGGTCTGGGTCTCGGTCTGGGTCTGGGTCTCGTCATGGTCTGGTCTGGGTCTGGGTCTCTTGGTCTGGTCTCGGTCTGGTCTGGTCTTGGTCTGGGTCTCTCGGTCTGGGTCTGGGTCTGGGTCTGGGTCTCCTGGGTCTGGGTTGGTCTGGTCTCTGGTCTCCAGGTCTGGGTCTGGGTCTGGTCTGGGGTCTGGGTCTGGTCTCGGTCTGGGTCTCGGTCTGGGTCTCCAGGTCTGGGTCTGGGTCTCTGGGTCTGGGTCTGGGTCTGGGTCTGGGTCTGGGTCTGGTCTGGGTCTCAGGTCTGGTGGTCTGGTCTCCAGGTCGGGTCTGGGTCTGGGTCTGGGTCTGGGTCTGGTCTTGGTCTGGGTCTCGGTCTGGGTCTTGGGTCTGGGTCTCGTCTGGGGTCTGGGTCTGGGTCTGGTCTGGGGGTCTGGGTCTGGGTCTGGGTCTGGGTCTTGTTTTGGGCTGATGAGGTTCTGTTCCAGGTGTTCGACGCTGGAGAGGTGTTTGGGATCGTGCAGATTCACTCGGACTCGGACTCGGACTCGGCCCCCGGCATCATCGGGTCCAAGGTGGTGGTGACGCGGGCGAGCGGCCTCCAGACGGACGACCCCGACAGGTGACGC